CCGTCGCGCCAGGAGCTGCTCAGGTCAGCCACTTTCACGTCCTTATACCCGGTGGTGGCCCTCCGAGACCACGCCTCCAGCGCCGACAGGCCTCTCAGCTCAACCAATGGCATCGCTCCGGTCAGTCAGTCAAATCGGTAAACACCTCTACCGGTGTGTTGTGTGTGCCCGGAATCTACCGGCGGAATATTCCCGTATGTATTTGTTCGGGAATTTATGTGTCAATCGTGAGTAACCGCTGCTTTTATCACTGGTGTGGGTGAGAATAAGGTAAGAAAAAATATTAGCATGTAGATAATTATGTTGTTTGTATTAGCAATGATCGTAATTAGGCGCTGATGGTGAAAAGGGTTAACATGGGTTTAATTATACCCCTATTGTATTTTATATTGTAGTTTATTGTATTGTTTAATGTAATTTAATCGCTACACTAAAAAATTACCCATAGATTTAGTATTACTCACGATTTCACTCAAAATTTTGTCGTACATTTCCTATTGAGGTGAATGTTTGTTATGCAATGTTGTGTAATAATTAACAAACAACATACACCTTATTAAATAATATTTGAAAACATAAATNCTAACATCACTATCACTCAGGAACTTTTAGTTAGTGTACAGTTATTTATAGTGTATTTATTTTTTGATGTTATATAACTGAATAGGAAGTTTGATAATAGCCTAGATGGGTAATAAAAATTGAACTCACTAGCATAGCTCACTTACAAAACTGCTAAAAACATATTGGCTATTCTACAATTACTAATTATGGTTAATTATAAATAAACATGGCCATATTTTTGACTGGCCGTACCCCTGAGGGATAATACACGCACATATTTTCACAAAAATGAGCTTACCAAAATAAAATATAGCACAAAGGTGCCTTGGGAACCTTTCACTAACAAACACACACACAGACACTAAGGCACAAGGTTACAACAAACAATAAATGACTAAGGTACACACACACAAGTTAATTACGAAAAACAAAGTAAACTCATATATAATTATTAATTAACCTTATTTAAAAAACAAAATATACACCAAAATTATTGAATGACAGTCACAGCAAAAAACATGAATGAATTGATAACGTATTGTCAGTTTTGTCTATTGGGTTACTAATAGTGTGTGTGAACTGTTGTGGTGTAGTGTTGTATAGCCATTGGTTTCAATGGGCGATTAAATAGTACAACACTCTGTGTATAGACTGTATAGTGTACTGAATAGCGCAAAAACGCCTCACAAAACATTAATACAACTCTTTTGGCGTTCACTGTATTAATGCCAGACAAATATTTGTGCCAACACGCATGCGCACACACTATTTATGTCTATATGATCTAGTGTGTAGTCTAATAAATACCGGTGTATGTTATGGGTTACCCGGTATTAGTATTTTTATCTAGATATTTTTTTGTGCTAGCATTTGTTATGTTTTTCATTATTTTATGAAGGATATATTTATTTGCTAGGTGAACTATCATGGTTAATTTGTTTGATTAGTGTTACCTGTGTTTATTATTTACTAACTTGTTCCCTAACTCGGGTCGGGTAGGGATGGATTGACCCATAACCTCGCCTCTAGTTATAATCATATATACAGTAAATCATCCATACATTGAGTTACCATATATTAAAATTATGTTTTAACTATCATTAATAATTGTTAACAAATAATTACTAGCGAATAAATAAAATAAATAATATTTTGCAAAATAGCATATTATAATAAATAAAATAAATAATTAATAACAAAAATAATTAACAAACCAATTATAGCGTACATAATAACGAGCGTAAACTGTATGCCTAATTCCATGCTTAGGGCAAATAAACTGTAGCCAAACAGAGGGCTCAGTAAACGCATAAAGTCTACAAACACTGTCACAACACTGTACTCGACATACACTTTACACAACACTTTCAATACAGTACTGCCTCCGACTATAGCGCACTCTCGGGGCGATCGATGTCTACCTGACAGCTGACTAGAAAATTATTTTATTGCACTTAAAACGTGATAAAAATGGCCGTAATATTGAACACACTTCACGCCAGGACGGCGACCAGGCTCAGTTTGCGCACGTTTCGGCTGCCGGGCCCGTGCAAAGTCACCCGGGTAAGTGTCCGCCAATAAATATCAACCCATTAGTGCAATATTTGACTCATTTTTACCCCGATTCGCAGCCAAACGCGTTAAGGTCATTGAATACCAACACCACTGCCACCGGTTCATCACAATCATCTAGATGGCGGCAAATTGTAATTACCAATTCATTTTCTACCATGGTCACAGTTTTACTGGTCATTTACAGCCCCATAAGTGTACAACACATCGGGTTATAGTGTAGTGAGGGTTAGCTCTTCCCCGGCGAGAGACTGACCGCTAGTGTTGTTATTGTTTTGCAAAGACATTGACATTGGGTTTACACCCTATATATAGATAGTGTACACTCGCTATAGTGTACAACCGGTACACAGTCTACTCCATGTATAGTTGCCGGGTTTTACTTGTGTTTCAACACATAATTAGTGACCAAAAACTTATCATTACTACTAGTGTTTCAAAACTAATTGTTTGTTGTATTTTTCCCTTTCCCGACCGGAACACCCGATATGTATGGACACAACAACACAGTTATATACAACGGGAGCGGTGGCTGGTGTCGGCGCTATCGGCCTGTACTACGCTCTCGACCAGTCGGTGAAGGCGTCGGACCTGGAGTTGCATCCGCCCGCCTATCCCTGGAGTCACAACGGCTTTATCAAAGGCTTCGACCATCAGAGGTACTGTCCAACAACTCCCCCACCCAAGGGGTAACCCCTCGCGTGGCGGTGTAGGTGTGTTTTCGGTCGTATTGGTGGACACATGCAATCTCCCGGTTTGCCCAGTAATTTGGGTGTTAACTACATTGATGTTGAGATGTTTGTGGTTTAACACTGGCTATAGTTGGCGCTATAGAGGGTAGGGTTAGGGCCCTCTGGAACCGGCCGTTGTGCCGCACTTAACCCCCGCCGCCCTTGACCTCTGTGTTCACCGCATAAACCACGCCGACCAAACTCACCGCCAGTTTTTATTAACTATTAATTTATTAACTAATGTTAACTATTGTTAATTACCAAACAGTATTCGCCGCGGGTATGAGGTGTACAAACAGGTGTGCGCCGCCTGTCACGGCATGAAGTACGTGTCCTATCGGGAACTGGTGGGTGTGTCCCATACGGAGGCCGAGGCCAAGCAGGAGGCCTCAGAGGTGTGTATAGCAC